AGGCGGCCTGGACACAGAAACAGGGAAAATCTGATTTCACACGTGGTGCGTGGTGTACAGGACGGTACAGCCAGAGACCTAAAACATCGATCACTATGCGTCATTAATACAGCTTCTCTTTCAAAGTGTCTCTAGTCCTACCAAAAACACGTCCCTTTGATTTATTTTTACATTGTATTTATATTACTTTGTATGTTCAAGCCCTTAATGACACAACAGCTGAGCTCTGAATATGCAAAAAATCCAAACAAACTGTGGACATAAACTGTCACCTTTAAGAGGGACCAAAGACATACTTTCAAGGCCATTAGCACTCTTGTCACCAAAACCGGCTCCACAATTTCTGAAGGTAATGTTCAACTTACCATAAAGTAAAAACTAGATCAGGGCCTGGGTCAAATCAAGACTTCTAAGCACTTGTTCATTGTGTATTACAAAGCCAATGCACGATGGTGGGCGTCTCATTTCGCAGAACCAGTTATGGGAAAACAAGAAGCCTTCAGCAAATAAGAAAGCTGCTGTGCAGAATCAGTGCAGGCGTAGGCTGACTTGCTGAGTGCTTTCAGTAGAATGAAAGAGTTTTGTCCCCCCCCGCCCCCCATCAACAGAACCAGCGCAAGTCTGGAACATACTTTCCCGTGTGTTTTGTGCAACAAAGCATCCTGCTGTCAGGATGACCTACCTTTGGGTCACAGCAAGGCATTCTGGACTGGGTAATGCCCAGAAGCTGGACAACCAGCTGTGCTCACCTTCCTGCACGGCGATGTCCATGGCGCTGGCGTTGCTGGACTGCAGCAGCTCCTGGTACGACTGGGCCGACTGGTCGAAGAGCTGCACCAGGAGGGCACAGGTCTTCTCGTACTCGCAGCGCCCGATGGTGGACAGCTGGTCCAGCTGCTGCTGCACCAGCCCCGTGTCGTCCAGAGGATCCTCCAGGCCATCTCTGTCAACCACACAGCAAAGCAGACACACCGGCACACCGCCGTCAAAGCCTGCTGCCACCTTCTTTCACAAGGGGAGCCCTGCAGTCTGTCAGAGGTCAACCGTTCTTGGAAAAAGCAGTGCACCATCGGCATGTTCCACCGTACGATCTGCTACTCCTGAAAACACTTCCTCCAGAAACGACGACTTTAGACTTCAAAGTAATGCGCGTTAGAAAAAGAAAACTGCCTCGTCAGGTCACCGCATAATCTTAAGTAGGGGGAACTCAAGAGAGTGAACCAGCTAGTACACGGCAAATGGCGCATTCGTCCAAGGAAGTCTACCTCTGGTCTCAGGAAGAAGGCCCTTACCGGAGTATGATGTGCACAGACTCCAGGCGCGAGGTGATGTAGGCCTTGGTGACCTCGGGGGTGTAGGTCTCCAGCATGTGGGGCTCCGTGGCCTTCACGTAGGGTACAGAGGCGGCCAGCCGCTGCCACAGGCTCAGCAGGTAGTGCACGCTGTTGGGGGCGAACTCCCAGTGCTGCAGAGGGGGGACAGAACACGAATCTGAGCGCCAGTGCGTGTGGGCGCAGAGCCAGGGACGGCTGACCATGCTGCTGATGTAACCGAGTCGCTCAGTGCGCTGTGTGGGTGAGAGTTTACGTCACCCACCCCCCTCGGAAATTCGGTATAGTGACAGGGGGCCCCAGCTTTCGGCGTGCTGTGCCCAGAGCCTGCGAGCGAATCACAGCAGGGCCTAGGAGAGCTGCTCTCGTCACATTATTGACGTAATTCTCTTCCACCCAGCTTAAGACTTGGCATTTAAAAACTTCTGTTTTCATCTTTTGCATGAGTAACTCCAGCAGGGGAAACGTGGTTAATCTGGCTGCTCGTTCACATTTACTTATAACGTCATTAAGCAAATTCTAACACGCAGAATCAACTGAAGCTGGCTGCACGTACCGTTATCAAACAAGACTCAAAACTAAGGTAAGCGGTCTTAATAAACAAGATAATAATTGAAAGCAAATGAAGTTAAATGCTTGACGAAGAATTGTAGATGCAGCCAGCAGAAATGACTATCGCTGCTTTAGCACAGTCTACAGTACTATGAAGTGGTCTTAAAGTAAGACCTTCTTACTCTTTGCAAGCACTGTGTTTATACTTCATGCTCATGTTAGAGCTTGATGAAACAATAACCCGACTGAGAGAGAAGTAACTACAGACTCTGCATTCTCCTGAGACAGCAGCACCTCAGACATACACTGCTCCCAGGGAGTCGAGATTAGAGATCCGATGAGATTAAGTCGACATGCTCACAGAAACCACTAGGGGGCAAAGTGCTACACTGCTGTAATGTCACAAAACCCCAATCCATCATACTCATCTTTGTTTAATGTTATCTTTGTTAACCTTCATTGACAAAGATGTAATTACTGGCTTTCCATGTAATATTTGCCCCACAGAGAACATTTTTCCAAACACGTTATTCCACCAATTTCACAACTGTGGCAGAAGTTTTCATTAACATGAAAAACGAACAACCCATAAGGAATCTTACCAACTCTACCTGTGCTCGGAAGAACCGGATCTCTTTTGTTTTATGAAATGAAAAGAAGTGCACATTCAAGAATACAGAAGCACCAATCGCAGGAAAAAAAATCCCAGAGAGTTTAAAGCTGTTCCAATGACATTTATAATTTTATAATACCACACATCCCCTAAGTATTACGCAGTCTCTACATGTTAAAAAAGTACAGCAAGGACACAACTGATTTGGAGAAAGACGGACTTCACACAGACAAAAATCTCACACAATGCTACCTCAGGGACACATTAAGGAGGAGCCATAATGGGGATAAACAGGAAAGATAAACGGTTACCTAAAGTCATGTACCTTCTGAAGCGGGACCTTACATTTAAAAACTGAAGTCATTTTAAGAATATAGGAGCACACACTACCCAATCTGTGCATGAGGAGCAAAAACACATGGAGTGTACAGGCTATGCTCCCCCTGCCAGCGGGGAGAAACTGAGACAGAGGTGCACTTCCTACTGCACTGTGACAAATATTCTGGGATTAGAGAAAAATTCTTCCTTAAATTTACAAATCTAATCCCAGAATTCCCACACCTGCCAGAGTCACAACAAGTCCCAAACCTACTGGGAGAGGGAGGAGCGAACTGGCAGCCCAGTATGTGATCTCCTGTCACAGCCTGAGGAACAGTGAGCCTGTCTCACAGAAATGCTCCATATGTTTATATGTAAATATCTCATGATTGTGTCTGTATTGTAAATGTCTGTAGATTTCTTATGCTAATCGTATTTGTTTTGGCAATACGGATTTTACTCATTGGTCCGTTCTCTGCAACTGTCTCTACAGTAAGTCTCCAAACTCTTGCCCCCAATGAGTCCTTCCACCCCATCCGTCAACACAGGACACACAGACACCTTGACGTCTCAACATGACACCCCTCCTACTTGTTACGGCCAACCAATCACAGACTCGTCTGTTGCTGTTGGAACCTGAGGCAGGCAGAGGTCTGTAACACTGACAACACAGGACTCATTCTCCTGACTGGGGTTTTTGAGAGGTGGGACCGAGGAGTATACGTCTCCAGTGACTCTTTGTCAGTCGTAGCTTGCTCAAGCAGAAAAGACTCACCTGCAAACTGGTCACTGTGAAGTTGGCTATTAGCCGAATGACCTCGGGGTAGTTCTCCACCTTCACCAGCTCCCCGAGCTGGTAGTTGCTTTTCAGCCTGGCCAGCAGTCGGCAAAACTCATGGTAATTGTTTGAGTCCGACAAGCTCTGTGAAGGACAGAAGACACTTCTTCAGCCTATGTGACCTATCCCTACCCCTGATACTTTTTAAAATGCACAATTATGTTAATGATGTCCTTTTCCTGTTTTGTATCTCTGACGATGCTATGAAGATCACTGAGATGTCTTTTTAGGTGTGTCTCACCTTCTAGTTGGTATTTGGCTTCTTTATTGCTGCATGGACACTAGCTGTTGAACCCTTTGAAGTAGTCTCCCTTCATCAGCCCAGAATTAGAATTCTTTTTATACTGGTTCACCTTTTGACTTGCTAAACCTCCACCACTCATCTGTTTTCAGGAAGCACTTCCTCCTCAGGGGTTTGGAGCGAGCTGGATCCTAACCCTGGAAAGGACACCAGTCCATCACAGGGCACTCACACAACACACACACCCTGGACAGGACTCCAATCCATCCCAGGATGTTTACAAACCCAGGATGGGATACCAGTCCATCAAAGGACATGACCCTGGACGGGACACACACACTCACATACCCCGGATGGGACGTCAGTCCATCACAGGACACACACACACTCACCCTGGACGCCAGTCCATCAAAGGTCTATTCCCCCAGTAGAGGGGGGTGGGGGAACCAGCTTATACAGCAGCCCATATCAACACTGGGCTTCAAGAGGACCTAGCAAAGGGAGTATTTTCATTGTCCTGCAGCTCTTCTGGCTTTCTTTTCAAATTAGATTACCTCAACTAAAGCAGATGCTGGCTTGACTCGCTGCACTCTTTTAACACCATCTAAAGACGCCGTCAAAACCAAAGGGCCGACATCTCCAGGGCCAAGTCTGGAGAGCATCCACACGGCCCACTCTGAAGAACCACTGATTTTATTAGCCTTCAGAGCACCTTAAAGAAATGTCGGTTTACCTGGGGGTTTTCCAGAATCCTTTTGACTCCATCTACCAGGTGAGACAGGAACTTTGCCCTCTCTGCATTGTTAAACAGGGACCTTCGAACAGAAGCTATTTGTACTAAGCATGATAACACCTGAGAAATAAAGCACATAGAGTTGAGTTATTTGTTGGTTATTGCAATACACCAATAAACAACCTTACCAGCATTCATTCCATGCATGATGAAAGAACATTAAAATGGTAACAGATGAGAGATCAGCTCATGCACAATCCCTGAACTGCATGCAGTCCTGGTGTCAAGGGTCTGGAGGATTCTGCACCATGAGCAAGACTGACAGGGCAAAGTTTCCCTTTTGCTGTGTATTTTCAGTGCTAAATGCTTCTGCATTTTACCTCCAGTACTGTCTCTGTGTCCTTATTTCCTTGCCAAGTCAGCAGCTGACTACACAGACCTTCGGTGTGGCTGAGTCAATGCCTTAGAGATCTACAGCATTCTACATGAAGGGACGATGGTAACTGGGACAGCTGCCATGACCACACGTGCTTTCCCTCTCTCCGCTCGTGCAATGAAAGGGATACATACCGCTTAGTGAGAAATGTGAAATTTGAGAAACGCAAGACAATCACCAGGTATATCGCCCTGCAACTGGCAACCCAGTGAAGCTCAGCAGGTGTGCTCAGTACCTGGATGGGAGAGTCCTGGGAAAGCTAAGGCTGCAGCTGGAAGAGATGTTACTGGGACCAGTAGGGGGCATTCACCCTACGGTCTGCATGGATCCTAATGCTCCAATACAGTGACGGGCACACTAGACTGTAAAAAAAGCTCTGTCCTTCGGAAGCTGAGGTCCTGACTCTCTGTGGTCATTAAAAAGTCTAGGGTGTCTCTCGAAAAGAGTAGGGGTGTTACCCCAGTCTCCTGGCCAAATTTCTCCCTGACCTCTACCAATCATGGCCTCCTAATAATCCCACTCTCTGAACTGGCTTCATCACTCTGCTCTCCACTATGGCTGCCGTCGCATCATCATCATCATCATCATCAACATCATCATCATGGGGCTACACACTAGTGGTGGTGGTGGAGGGGATCCCCATTACCTGTAAAGCGGTTTAGTGTCCAGAAAAGCACTATATAAATGTAAGGAATTATTATCATCATCTTCTTAGATGTTCATGTTGGACATTCCTTCCACTTGCACGGTAAGACTAAGTAACTCTACCTGCAATAACCCAGCCATCTCCTCCATCGTTTCTTTAACAAAGCATTTCAAAAGAAAAAGTGGCAGGTGGCTATAAGGCTCACCCTGCAATGGGTGGGGTTCTGTCATAGTGGCAGCTGCAGAATCCACAAACTTGGCCACTCAGCACATAACTGGAGAGCTTGCAGTACATGGCTGTTGCATCAGCTGTAGGCTTAAACAGGGTTGTGCACTGGCTACAGCCTGCTACTGTAGCCTGGCTGTGGCTTGGACTTTGAAAACGCCTTGCTGGGAAGCTTGGGGACGCAGTACAAAAACACAGTCAAGATTTGCAAAGAGAATAAAACTAACAGAAACATCTTACTTCCCAAGATAAGCAAGCTGTTTTATTTAATGACTGAGACAAAAGGTGTCTCAGGTTACACAGCTAAAGATTGTCCTGGCCCATCCTCAAACCACACCCTACCTCCTGCAATGCACTGGCCTGACTGCTAATCCAGGAGGATCGTCCCATCTCTTTTCTAATGATTAATAAGCTAACATGACTGCTCTGGTTTCACTGAGCGACACTATGTTCATATAAAACATATTTAAAAACGTACATATATACTTAACGGCACTAAACAATATTCTTAATTTTCCTTTCCACATGGTTTTAAAATGTTCTAAGTAAGCCAGTGATCAATTATGAGGCTGAATAGAAAAAACAGCACAAGGAGTTACAATCAAACAGATGGGTACCCAAAATATCATTATCACTAAATCGTTTCAAACAAAGCCCTCAAAATGGATCTTTTTTCATTAACAGGACCCATAACCTGAGCCATAACCAGCCCCAGAACGTCAATCCCCTGTTTATTCCTGAGTTCTTTAAACCAAACATCTCAATTTTATAGGATGATTCTTCACCTGGAGCCTCTTTTCCAGATCCAGTAATCACTTTGACCATCCACAGCCTGTATAACGTCATACTGCTGACCTCCTAATCTGCACAGCTTTCGTATCCATAGTCCTCTTGACCATCCACAGCCTGTATACCTTCATACTGCTGACCTCCTAATCCATACAGCTTTCGTATCCATAGTCCTCTGGCCTGTCCACGGCCTGCTCCATCTCATACTGCTGTTCACCTGATCTACACAGCCTTCCCGTCCACAGTCAGGCATGTTGTGTTGCAACAGTGGAGGCTGTATCTTCCATTCATCTGAAGGCTTGGCTAGCAGCAGCAGCAGTAACTCGACCCCTCTGTCAACAATGACAAACCCACGCGGAGCTGAAACCGCTGACACCCCACAATACTCACCAGGGGTGACAGGGATGGAGGAATGGAATGATACAAATCGAAAAACAGCTGCAGAGTAGAAGAATCCAAAAAAGCTGAAACAGAGAGGGAAAACAAAACCATCTGTAAGCATAGGAAAACCTCAGCTCTGATGCTGAATCATGGATGATCTCTCACGGTCGTCTATGGACTTGGACTATGGATAGGGAACTATACGGCAGATGACACTCTTGTTCAACGGTGTGAAAATGTATTGCAACATTCCAGGGTTCCTGTGTTTTGATTTGTTGCTCACCATCGTATCAAACAGCCCTCAAAATTGTTATGCCACACAATTACAGAGTGCCAACTTTGACGACATTTGTGTGTCACACAAGCAGTTTTTAAAATATACAATAAAAGAAAACATGGCCAAAAACCATGAATGACTGTACGAAATGTAATGTGTTCGCCTCTGCCAAACAGATGGGAACCATGGATAATATAACCCTTTTTTACACTCACTACTGATATGACATTCCTTCTAGATCTCTGTGCACCGTTTTAATGCGTCTCCATTACAGATGCGATGCTTAAAGTCATATCGATCTAAATCAGACTTAAACTGCTGAGCTGCAGGTGACAGCAAACCCTGTCCTTCCTCAGTTGACAGATTAGAAGGTAACCACGCAACAGCAAGAAGACGCTGCAGATGCTGCTGCTCTTGTTGACAAGACGCACACTTTCACTATTAATGGGGGCTCTATCTATTGCGCAGTAATGTACTCACAATTAACAAAGAGCATCCCTATTCCACTTCTACCCTACTGCAGAGCGCATCCTTAACAGCTAACTGCAATGCCTCAGACTCAATGCACGGCTGCACTATGCACTTTTTTTTCACTACTACATATTTATTCCTCTCCACAACATCTGTATTGTTCTGGTTGTTATTATTTATGAAGTTTGTAATGAGCTCTCTGTATCGTGTGTTGTTGTCCGTCATACTGTGTTGTCTGCTGTGGTGTTTATGTCCCGAGAGATCAGCACAAATTAGAATTCCAATGCAGTTGTACACATGGCAAAGAACTCCTCTACTTCTCTACTCTATGGAAGGAGCTCATCCTGTGCAGCGGAGACCAGGCTGGTATAGGAAATAGTTAAGGACAACAGATCAGCTAGCTCTGTCTGGAACTCCAAGATGTAGGAGTTGTGCAACAATTCTGGTCTGGCCCCCCTGTTTAGGGATTTAGCAGGTGTCTTCAAACAGAAGCGTGTGGAGTTCCGGCAGACCCCTACCTGACCTCCAGCTGGTGGGGATCTGCACGGTGCAGAGGTCGTCCGAGGACTCGTCCGTGGAGGTGCCGATGAAGTCGAAGTTCAGGCAGTTGTGAGCCAGCTTGAGCAGCTGCATCAGGAGGCCGTGCTGGCTCTCGTCGTTCAGGTTCAGATTTTTGCCCGAAGCCTGGAGCGATCGGCGCCGAAACAGAAAAGGGATGGGGAACGAGCATCACCAATCCCGCCCCCCCCACCCCGTGCAGAGCTGCAGGAGGGTCCTTCAGAAGTGACCCTCTGACCCCAGCCCCCCATTCCCATCAGATGGGAGGAGGGGTGACTCTGGTGACACAGTTACAGCTGTGGAAGTCACATGAACTGCTGGTACTCAGTCTACCTGAGCTTAATTAGACATTTGAATTAATTATTGACTATTTCGCAGGTCTTAACTAGTCAAGGATTTAAGGAGGTCTAAAGAATCCTGTTGGGACTAAGAGCAGAACTTGAGAAACACTGTTACATAACCCAAAACAACTAACCGACCCAGCACTTACAGACAGAAACTATTCCTTGAGCCACTTCACAAACCGAAAGTGGCAAGCCGGAGGATCAGTTCTTGTGTTGCTATTCAAAACCAGCCACGGAAGAGCCAATCGCTACATGGCACTTTGAGAGGGAGTTCCAGTAGCAGGAAGCTTGATAACTAAAAGGCCTGACAGCCACTCTTGTGGAACTCGTCCCAGGACTATCGCACCACAATTCACAAAGCACACGGGCAAGAACTGGGACAACACTGACAACTGAGAGCAGAAGAGAACTCATGAAGTTCTCATCACAGAGCCAGCAGTTAAGTACGACATTAAATTAAAAGCAACTTTAAATAAGAGCAGTATGACAATCCCGCCTACTTTGAACTTTTGCTATTTTTTTACGTCCTCATTAACAGCTTTGCAACACTACACTTCTTGCAATTACATTTAGACCAATCAATCCAATCCAGCATACTCTAGAGTGTTAACAACTCACAATAAAATGTAGCCCACACAATGCATCGAACCAGTAGAGATTATTCTGTGTCAAACAGTTTTCTCATCAGTAGTTAAGCAGAAAGAGGTTTCCTAGTCTTTTAGAGTTTCACTGCCCATAATTTACAAACGTCATATGACTACTTGAGTCCAGCATTTAAAACGTGACTTTGCACTATGAAAAAAACACGTACAAAAACCACTACTAAAGTGTTTTTTGAACCCCCAATAAAGCATTAAGGACCTCTCTTTAAGACATTTACTGTTAAAGGCCTTACCTGCTTTAGTAAGTTGCATGACAACGTAAAGATGTCGAAGAGCGAGGAATCTCTGAACGATGACGCGATTTTCCTATGCTTTGTCAACGGGTGTGTCGTGTCCGCCTGGAAAAGAGGAACGTGAAGGGGAGAAAATCAAATTCTCGTCCTGAAACAGTTTCCATGGCTACCCCTTATACTTGCACAGAGGAGAGACCCTGCAGGTCCACTGGCAGCAACAGAACTGGGAGGTGACAACAGACACCGGGCCAAGAATCTGTTTTGACAGGGATGATTCATCAACTGGAGGCTCTCTTCCAGACCCATCAACCACCTGACTGGCTTGATGCAGTCCCCTTAAGCACCTATAGTCCGTATCATCTCATACACTGCTGATCCCCTGATCTACACAGCTTTCATATCCACAGTCCTCTTGTCTGTAAAGAGCTTGAGCTGCCTCATGTGTATTTAACTCAACTCAGAATACAAAAGGATAGTGGGGAAAATCCCTGCGAACTGACATCACCAATGCCAAGCTGTGCTCTGCCTTTTATTAATCATCATTGGTAATCTGGGACACCGGTTCCAATTCTCTTGGAAGATGCAACATCTAACCCCTCCTGTGTAGACGCCAGCAGCACCAGCTGTGCTCGGATGCAGAAGAGGCCAGCCTGTCCCCATGAACGCTACAGACATGAGAATGATTCTGGAATAACACGCTGCCTTCTCCAGACTTCCTGCAAACCACTAGCGTTCCTCTTTTTACCCCGTGAGTCAACATTTTAACAGAAACAATTATACTCATTAGGTGGCAATTTGTGCTCAGGGAAAACAGGGGTTTCTGTATACTTGTCTGGACACTGTAAGATTAGTTTCTTGTTTTACTCTTCCTTTATTAAATCAGACAAAGCAAAATCCATGTTAGGAAAATGTTGAGCTCTATGATCCAAATGCTGTGAGTTTCAAACCCTGGGTCATGTTACCAGCCAACAGTGACTACCATTCCCCAAGCAGCATTGTGGGTAGGGTGGGACCACTCAGTAGGCCTCTCAGCAATCTCCTGGATGCCAACAGGTAGGCGGTGCTGTTAATGATGGATTCACCTCACCTCCAATCAGAGCTGATTCCCCACCAGGGGGTGGTACTATGGGTGAGGGTTGTGCCTCTCCACCAATCAGAGAGGATTCCCCACAAGGGGGCAGTGCTATGGGTGAATGATGTGCCTCGCCACCAATCAGAGAGGATTCCCCACAAGGGGGCAGTGCTATGGGTGAAGGGGATGGAGCTGCCTGTAATGTGTAAACACATGAGTGGGTGGGCGGAAGGAGTCTGCCCACAATTTTCCCTTGTGAAAAATAGCGGGATTCATGGTGATGAGCCAAGATATGAAAAACACACCACTTGTGATTCGAATTGTGTGGATTTAAAATTTTTTGATTCTTTGATCTGTTGTCATATTCATGAAAAACGTCTACTTAAATATAGACCTACCTCTGAGAATACATAGATTGCTCCCTTACTGTTGCACAGTGCCGCGCAAAGGCACCACAGTAAAGATGAAAACTTACAATGCCTCCAAGCCAGTGATGCCGTTTTTACTGAAGAGGCAAAAACAGTCACAGGTCTAGAACCGATAACCGGAAAGGGAATTCACATCTCAAAATGCGCAAAATGAAGCAGATGACTAACAGACGGACGCAGGTAACCCTAGATCATCTGTTTTAACACTCATAGTGAACATTTTATTGTTGTTGTAGACACACAGAATAAAACAAAGTTTAAAGACAAGCCTTACCCGCAAAGCAGGATAGCCAACACACAGACGAGAGAGAGAGCGTAAGGGTGGATAAAAACAGACACTTACTTCACTGAAGAACCCCGAGGAACTTACTTGGTTAATTTCGTTCGTTAACTGTGACAGGATCGTGACCCCTATGATGCAGTGCTCAACACTGTCCTGCAATCAGAGAGATCCCAGGGGTTAGTCGGGTGTGCGAACAGCCCAGGTCCCTTTCTCTGCACACGCTAACTGAGGGGGAAAGGCAGCGAGAGAAGAGCAGGCTGTGGCGTGCAGGAATCTGGCCGCCCCGCTCCAAGAGCAGGTTGTTTTAATTTCTGAAACACGGGTTGGGGGGGGGTATGGTGACACTTCAGAAAAAGATATAACAGCACTGCACGTTATGAGGCCAAAGTGCAAGTGGCCAGCGCCCCACTCTCTTCTGAAAACAGTTACGACTGCTAACCTTCACCACATTTCTTACTGCATTTTACAGAAAAGACTGAGAAACCAGCCTGAGGAACAGACAGGAGCCCTTCTATAACCTGCTCTTCTCACACACAAAATCTGCTGAACTTCCTGTAACTTGCAAATCCTCCACCTCATTTCCCAGAACTACCACTGGAGTACACACGAAAAGGAAAGGTACAGTACATGGCTACAAATAGGTCAATGAGGATTTCCAAGGTCTCTTGCCTGTACAGTCTAACGTTAACAGATCTAGGCTTTATTAAGGCCCGGAAGGAGGCAACAAATCATATTCTATCTGTGAGAATTGAATAGATAAAAAAGGACAACATACAGGGGCTCAGAGCAGGACTGGTCATACACCTCCGTCATTCAGCATTGTGTACATGGTCTTAGGAGGTAAACGTGCCAGCAGCACTGCTTACCTTTGATACTGCAGGGTATAGCAGCTGGTCTTTCAGGTAGTCTGCAATGCTACAGCCACTGCAGAAATTGCCCCACCACAAAATAGCATGCTGGATCTCTAGCCCAGACCGGTGAGTCCAGCTTCTTCCACTGTGCAACAACCTCGATCCCCACCCTTTCAACTGTCAGTTCACCCTTCCCTTTCAACAGAAACATCCCATTTCTGTGCTTCTGAGAATGGGACGACACTACAGATCTACCTGATTATAACTACAGAAGAGAGGAGCGTAGATACATGAGTCTTGCAAATCACCTGTATCGTTTCATCTCCGTATCTCATTTTCATGACATTTGATTGTATGCCGCTAAATAATGGTGTCACATATATGAAACAACATATCTCCACTTTACAAATCTCCTGCAATGTACTGTAACACGCACGCGATCTGTTTTTGTCGTATCGAGTCTTATTCCTCACCTGCAGGAACCTGGTGACGTCGGCAATAGCGTTTCTGAAGACATAATCCTCCTTCTGGCAGTCGAACCAGCCCAGCTTGGTGATTCGAGCGTACAGCTGGATTAGTGCCTGCGTTACGAATGTTGCCAACTTCGGCCTGGTCGCAAGGTAATTAAGGACATAATTCCCTGGAAAAGACAGGAGAATCGCAAGATGAAACTGCTCCTTCCATTTCCACAAAGTTGCAAAAAACAAAAAAGCCTCTGCTCATCATAAATGATAACGTAATTAGATCAGCTCTGCTAGTAGCAAGGGTCTGAAAGAGCTGTACTGGTTGAAAGGCATAAGACAGTGTTGTGCCTTCTCGTGTGATAGCTTGCATCATCCTCTGGTCTGCAGGATACCAAGTGCTGATTCATGCCAATTCACAACTAAAAACAAGGCATCGGACACCTGTTCTTGCTTTGCATTTCAAAACCTGACAGATTACTCTATACGTTCCTATGCTCCAAAGAGCTACTGTAAAAGAGATCATTAACTTCAACTGATGAATTCTGAAGTTCTCTTTGACAACAAATATTGATTGCGCATCTGATGTTATGTCAACTGCGCCGCGTCAAATTAATTAACAAACTGGTATCGCCTTAGAAACAGAGGAGATTGCAGGTCTCTTTCATTATTTTAGCTGCTTAAGAAACAGAAAGAGCAGGCCGAGATGGACACCTGCGCTTTCACGTAGTATATTTTAAAAAGACAGATTTATGACTCAGTGACCGCTTTTATTCTGTGTGCTTTCTATCACTAACACCCAAAACCTAAACAGCGCAGCTTGTGAAATTCACGCCCTGCCCTGCAGATGATAAGAAAGGATAATTATATCTCGCATAACTTCAGGCGAGCTCAGAGTCAGGCCCAAGCCAACATGGAAACCAAGTGTCTTCAGTGTCAGTACGCTGAATTCTCTAACAGGCGGCTGTTAACAGTGAGAGGAAACGCAAGAGCAAATTTCCAGCATCATTTGAACACAATATTTCCATCTCTGGGAAGTACCTGCTTGACAAAAATGGAAATGTATGCAGAGACGTCTTGGAAAAACTTGTTTAAAACAGGCCCTGATTAACAAGAGAGTTACAATTTTCTTTCTAAGCAGTACCCACCAATTGAAAAATGAGTTTAGGCTATCGACAAAATAAAAGAGCTCGACACCAATCAACCCCGTTCTCTCGGGTTTTAATCAAGAAACCGTATCAGCTCAATCAATACTACTGCTGTAAGAAGTCTTTAAAAACACAGCTGTTAAAAGCAGTAGAGATTTGGTGTCTGGGTGCTTGCGGAACTTACGAATGTCAATGCGTTGTTCCAGTGGAAGGGGATTGCTGGTGCGCGAAACGAGTTTGGAAAGACACGTGGCAGCCAGCAACTGGGAGTAAGATGACTGTAAAAGAAGACATTTCAATATTATAGCACTTACAGGTAGGTTTCAGTCTTCCTGACTGAAAACGGGAGTTGTGTACTGCTCTTAAATGAACCAGAAACGGAAACCAAAATAAAAAGGCTAATATAGGCATGCGTGTTTATACTGCTATCAGAAAGAACATGCAGACAATTTTGTACTCAGATCCCTTTCAAAACCTGAGTCTCCAACCCAGGTCCAGTCCAACAGGAATTACATGTCATCTTTAAATCCATAATTTCTAAAACCTTGGAACAATTTCACTGTGATCGTGTAACCCGGTGATATGATCATTTAGAGATCACTTGGGACTAAAATATTGGTACCTTTAGTCCTTAAGGTCCAGAGTTCTTTAATTGCACAGATCGCTTGCTTAGACCAAAACGTTCCAGGTCCTCCCATTCTTTAGAAACAGGTGACCTAAAAGACTAATTTACACGCCCAACACCAGAACCCTCCTCTAGTCATGAAGGTGACAGAAGATGTCCCTCAGTTTAACGGCAGGATGTTCCTATTTGACCTGCAAGCAGGTACCAGACTCAGTTCCCGGAGGGCCCAGGGACTGGTTAGTGTTAGTGTTCCTCCAAAGCTCTCAGTTACACACTTGCTTTAATTATTTATTCAGCTGCATAACTGTGGCACTTTTAACCAGGCTCAGAGGTGTCTGAGGAGCACCGTTTGATGAAGTGAGTGGACACGTGGACACGTGGAGAACATACAAAGTCCTTGCAGAAAGCACCCCAGGCACTGAACCCAGGACCCCAGTACTACAAGCACAGCATGCCTACATGACCATATCACCAGGACCTTTCTTCACAAGTGGCTGCGTTCATCCCAGGTCTGCTTTCAGCTACTCAATCGCTCAAACTATCTCATGACCCCATGCTCCAAAAGATGTCGTTAATATCTTTTAGCACAAATCGAGAACACCTTTTAAGCTGCAAAGCGAAAAAATAAAAATCTTGTACCAGTCTCACATAAGCCATGTTAATTAGTGGCAGCTGATTCCATGAAGCAATTAATTGAACCGTCCAGTTGCAATAAAGGCCAGTGGGGGCTGCAGGCCTGAAGGAGTGCAGTCTGACACTTGTCTCAGCACTGCGCCCCCCAAATAGCTAACAAAACACAAAAACACACTCGTCCAGCATAAACCTGGGCATGGACAGCACTGAATTACAGAGCAAAAACGAATCAGGCCACACTGTTGTTCTGAGGCTGCAAAATGAACTTTATAAATGGATAATGAACATGGTATTAGCATACATTTTTGCTACTGATATAGTGTGCATAGATCAGAACATTCAATCTGTTGTGTGCAATGCGCAATTGATAATTTATAGTGCCCAGACATATCCATTCAGTTCTGAAAGCACCCTCGTCAGATCAGAAGCAACAAGCAAAAAAAAAAGCAGAAGAGAAAACTCACACTTCCTCTCTCCAGCAGCAGCTGACATTTACTCAGGCAGTCGGGGCTGTTGGTGAACTCGACCAGCGCCTTCTCGGCCTGCAGGCGCGTCGTGGTGTCCGTGGTCTCATAGAGCTGCTTGCACAGGATCTCTAGCTGGGCTAGGCTCTGCAACACAAGCACATGGGGACACCTCACCACAGCGTCCTCGCGGGGGCAGAAACGGACAAGCAGGGAGCAGGAGGTGAGCAAACGGGTTCACCTTGTACCTGTCTGGAAAACAAAAGCGACGGGCGGCTAGCGCCTTGCTGCTTTAAGAACCCCAGCCTTAATACTGCCACCGAGTTCACATCGACAGTTCAACTTGTGTCAACAAGGCGGCTCGGCCAAGGCTGTGCAGCAAGAATCGCCCTTTATTTCCAGTCCTACGTGCACGTGTCCGTTCCCACTTAACACATGGAGACTACATGGAAGCGCATCTAAGTCCTCGAAAAGGAGGCCCTAAACCCGAATGTGAGTGAGAGTGTGGAACAAGTTGCCCAGAAAGGGTGTTAAGGCTGATGCCCCGGCTTCCTGCA